TATATATATATATATCGTTCAGCTGTGACATCGCTTGGGTGCGTAGCTGCCATGCACGCCGAAGGAAACACGAAGGCATCGAAAACCCGAATCTCAATACGGAAAAATGGACCTCCGGTCGCAACTAGCAAGGTTATTACAAGACAAGAGTGGTCGATCAAAGTCATTCACTTCAATCATGGAATACGACAGAGAATGGCTCTGACGGTCAGTGTAACGCGATTCACCGATGAGCCAGTACAGGGTGCCATGGGCGGTACACAATGGTCAAGGGACTAGGAAAGGACAACTTGTAATGAGATGAACTAGACTGGGGGGCGTAAGGCTGTACGTAATAAGATGCGTATGATAAGGTCAAGCACGCTTTACAGTGTACAAATTAGACTAAAAAACGGTCTCTCGTCATGCATCCATCCGGGGACGCAGAAAAGGAAGGGTTCTTTCAACCGTTTTTGCAGGCCACATTTTAGTAAAAACAAGTGTGGAAAAACAACCAGATAAACATCCTTGCATCGCCTGTCGTACAAATTCGAAAATAACCTACTGAAACGGAGGCCACACTCCCTCGTTTAATGGAGGTGGAGCATTGTGTCCATCAGGATAGGCTACGCAGTGAAAATGTCTCCCGTAAATTGCGGTAACATGCGTGCATATTTTCATACATGTGATAGGTGAGTATATAACGGAGAACACAGTGGACAGACAGGAGTTCCTTACCTCGGAGCAGGTGGAGTTGATGAATGTATAATGCCCCGTCGAGAGCCTCGACGTACTGCTTCAAAAACATCAACCGGTGTGGTTGACTGGACGGGGTTTTGTGCGGACATAGTCGCAGCTGCAGCAAGCTGCTCCTCAAAGCGCGCATGCTTTCGCATGGAAATGCGACCAGCCAGTGCGTTATAGACGCCCGTAATAGAATTCGGGAAAGGTAAACCAATGCTGTCATTGTTGCTATGATTGCCATTGGTGGTACGTGGTCGACCACGTGGACGACGTCGTTTACGACCAACTTGTGAGGCCTTTGAGGACTTTCCTTCTTCCAAATCGTCACCTCCATTATCTTTCTGAGAGCTTCCTGCAGGCGTTTGGACACTTGATTCGTCGGAATCCCCACTTTCTAGAACCGATGAAGGTGGCGCTTCTTGATCATCCTCTCTGTCCCCATCAGGACCAAGTTTGCCGTGGAGTGAATCCAGGTAACGACGAATTTCCATATCTACTTGATCGGTTGGATCTAATCCGAGAGAAAGTTTCTGAGAGATGGGATGAATACGAAAGGGATTACATAAAATAGATCGAGTATGCAAAATGTAACAGAAATTTTCAACACAGGGGAGGCTGACGAACTGACCTTCCTTGGGCTATGCTACAATAGCACACAAGAATGTTCTCACCTGGGTCGGATCCGGTTTGATTGGGCTGATGTCGGTGGCGTGAGCCAAGAGTCCCGGAGTCAGATAACCCCGCCGATGTAGCCCAGCCCACTTTGGTCCGTGTAGACTCATCTCGTAAAGGGTCTGTTGATTGCGCTTGTTCAAATAGTAGAAGAGAATCAACTCATTCACTGTACGATTGGGAAACTGGTCGCAGGGAGAAAAGGAGAATGGGACAGAACATGAAACACGATGCGAAACTAAGACACATTCGACGACACGCAACTGTTTGGAAAAGGTGCAGAATACGTACCAGCTTTTTGACCTTATGAAACTGTTTATTGTAATAGTCTAATGCGATAAAAAATATCCTCCGTTCTGATGGGGTCCATTCGTATTTCAGGGGACTGAAATTGGGTAGGTCAGCCTGAGCCCTTTCGAAATCAGCCTTGTGCCAGGTTAGTAGAGCAAGCGCCTGTTCTTCGGAATAGCTGTAGAAGAGTAACAGAAAAGGTTAATGGTAGTTTGGTATACATGCACGACAGTAAATAAAACATCAGTCTAAGGGCTACAGTTCCCAGTTCCAAGACAATAACAGCTATCGAAGCGAGATGTCAGCGGATCCTGGAAGTATTCTAATTCAATCCGAAGATATAGGAGATCATGTTTCAAGAGAAGTCACAGCTACAATGATCTTAGTTTGGTCAAGTTTTTTCTTATGTGAATCATACTGGGATGTGGCGTTTCAGTACCTGGGTATCCCACACAACTACCTATTGGAACACGCTCAAACAAAATCCGATCCTTCCCACCAGTTTTCGGGCTAGAAAGTAATTGGCAACTCATTACGTACCCGTTAATTCACTGTAGTTGTTTATCCCCTGTTACATTACTATACAAACATGAGAACTGTGCGTGCACTGGAAAGCAATGCACATACAAAGGGCTTGCTTGCCAAAAACACAAAAATAGGAGGGATGTAGTGAAAAAATGGAAGAGATCAACTGCAAGACTCAGCGAGGCAGATAGATGTCAACTACCAATATGCGGGACTCGTTGGTGGATTTAATCGATACTACAGAAACCTACCGATACCAAAGCGTAAAACCGAGCTCATTTCCACAAATGTCAACACCAGCAACTCACGCTTTAAAATTTCTCTCCTTGTTAGTGATTCTCCAGTTTTCTAGTTTCGCTACCCGACTCCTTTTTATTAGTCCAATTATTATTATTAGTCGAATGATTGCATCTATTGTGTACACGTCTGGTTCGAATCAGAAAATCACTTAGCCATTGTTACACATAACTATGGCTGGCGTGTAGTAAAAAATCGGTCAGACCGGTACGGGATTGCAAGATTGTCGGACTACTACGTAAAAGCAGGACAACATTTAGCACTTATCAAACGCACCTGTGCTCAGATATAGCCACAGAGAGGAACTTCTCCAACTCTTTGTTGAAAGTTTCGTGTATGGGGTGCCAAAGTGCGACGCCTCGGTCAGGCTGGCTCAGAATATGTGGAGAAGGCTCTCCTTTGAACGGGGGCAAATCAACTTGAAATTCAGGGCCAACGCGAATCACAGCATCTGGAGGATAGGAGAAAGTAAAACAGTGGAACTTTTAACAGGAAAGAAATAGCGAATCCACGAACGTCATAACGAATATCCGTCTTTAACATTATGATTGGTCTGATTAGGCTGCATAGGTAGAGAAGGGCTGAAAAGTCACTACAGTACATCACCATTGTATAAACAAAATAAAAACCGTTCGACTGTAGCACCATTTTGGTACCTAGCTGCCATGCAACCTGAAGGAAGTATGAGGGCTGGGATACTGCCTCCGGCGCTTTGTTAGTCAAGATTACTACCACCAGAACCCCAACCTTCACGGTGCGATGTATCCTCCCCCGATGAAAAGATGAACAGGCTTTTCTATACGTTGATGGAAACTAAAGAGTACACAGGATCTATTTCGGGACTGATATTATTTGGACTATTCCCCACTTTCTCTTCTAAATTCTTGCACCGTTTGGTTTTTCACGACACGTGTATATATCCATCTAGATCATTTAACGTGAACCATTCATACGTAACTAATTTTCTGTGTATAAAGAACTCGAAACATCTTAGTGGTTAAGGTGCGAGCTTGTAGACCTGAAGGTCCGTGGTTAGAACCCAACCTCAGCACCTCGACTACTCCTGTCTAGGCTCGGGCAAACTGATAACACCTCAGCCTGCGTGTGGCACGGCATCTAGGCATCAAAAGGGTGTTACAGCTGGACGAATGATTCCATGTATCAATGTATTTTTGTGGTTTACTGCCAGCTTCATGTATAGAACCAAGTTGTCTATCACCCTCATACGGGTCTCCGGCTGTTGACCTTGCCTTCCTTCGTAAGCCGTTCTGACGTAAGAGTTTTGATCATAGCGACTGTTCAGTAGTATGATCAACTCGCACCCAGACAGGATATGACGTTACTCACATACTTGCTCTAATATCCAGTCAACACTAGGTAACAGTCCACGCAAAACATTCGGCGCCTCGAAAACCGAAACATACCGTATCTCGCGAGGTTGTCTGGTGTGCTGGGGTGTTCGGGTGAAAATGCACTCCTGGATATCTCAAGTGGCGCTGATTCTGTGACACAGTTCACACCATCGGATCAGTGAGGGGCCTAGTGCTGGTCTGTCAGTCACTCCGAGGTGCCTACACACTCCAACCGCTCAATCAATCTGGAAAGAAGGTGACAGCATGAATGCCATTGACATCGACTAACCGTCGTGAAGTCTGCAGCCAAGCACAGTCAGGATCACGGGACTCCATCTTGGAAGGCGTACAACACCAGCAACACTCAAACTCTTCGTGATCTCTTTCACGCCTTTCTGCCAAATCATACGCTGTCCATCTCGCGGTTTGCGCCATCCTGAAGGAGGCGCGGAAAACAACACTCGTGGGCATGCGTAGCACGTGACCGAGTCATCGTAGTCGATGATGCTTGATGTTATCCATTACTTGCAGCACAACCGAATACCCGTTTTCTAATCGCCTCGTTACTAACACGCTGACGCCATCCGAAACCAGCCACGCTTCTGAGACATCGGTGGTCGGAAACCTGAAGACGCCTCAAATCATCTGTCCACAGAGGCCATGTCCCGCACCCATACAACAACACAGCCCTTACTGTAGCCTGGTACACACTACCCTTAAGATCTAGTGAAACGCCTTTTTGACGCCACAAGTGAAGCAAATTAGCAAACGTGATTCGATCCTTTGAGATTCTTGCACTGAGTCAAGACAACAATGAAAGCCCTGGGCTATTACAGGACGCAGATTAGCGCGAGATAGCTGGGCAATTAAGGTGCGGAACCACTGGGCGGGAGATCCATGGTTCGAACCCAACCAGGGCTGTTCGATTGCTTCTGTCTAGCCTTGAGCAACCTCACAATATCCCAACCCTCGTGTGTTCATCGAGTTGCACGACAACTGCGCACTATAAGGAAGCCACAGCCAAATGATTTTATTATGTAGCATGGGGCTGGCGGGATGCGCAGAATGTGGCCCAGAAGTGTCCGCTACCAGAGCAAAGGTCCCGCAAACGTCCAAGTATTAAGACCTGGCACTATTTTGCAATGAGGATCCCCGTGCGGTACGTGGCATGGGCAGAAATCATATACCAGAGCTACTTCACGGCAGTGATTTCATGACCCAGTTCAGTGATCCACTTAGTAAAGAATGTAAACCCATCAGCACTGCGCTGTGGTCCAGCTGATTATGGTACACGGTTTATAGCTGATGAGTAGAATTGATTGATTATGTGGTCCATTGGTAGCTATGCGACTCAAGTAAAAGATCCTCATAAAAAAGCAGGTGTTCACCCTGACCACCATTGAAAAACTGTCGAGTGGAACGCCATCCTCCTACGAGTCCATGATGTGTTGCGGGGTCTGAGAACAGACCTTCACAAGAACAGAGCTCAAACGTCATCATTTCAAACACTAGACCGCAATGACATCACTACAACAGCCTAGCCTCTTGACCCTTACTGAGTTTGGCTCTCCTGACAGAGCATTGAAGATGTTAATTGCTTCTACCTCTGGACACATGTGGGCATATAATTCCAATTTGCGTTCTTAAAGACGAACGGCGTGTTACATTCTTTTATTTATGACTACGTCTATGGTATATACACGGCCACCGGAGTGCTATCCCTTTTCTCTCAACCTTCTTCTTGAGAGATAGAAACGGGGGACGCACGAGTGATCCAATGGCGGTATCTGAAGCGTACAAGACTGTGCAGACTTGTCATCTGCCCCAACGACCTGAGCATACACAATACTAACAAGACGTAACTACAAACATCCAACCGACTTGGTCTCCACGGAGGAAGAATTTCATCAACCCTTCGGAGCGTTGGGGCCAGACGGGTTCCACCCGAGGATCCTGAAGGAAACGTCGCTCGCATTGATGAAGCACTTCTACTTGATGTTTCGTCAGCCGCTTGACGAAGGCAATCTCCCCTCTACTACTTGAAGAGAGCAGTTGTCACGACAATCTACAAATATGGTGACCGCTTGTTGCCCGGTAGCCAGAGATCTATTGACCTCATTAGCATACCATTCAGGGTGATGGAACGCACTCTAAAGCAGGCCATCTCAAATCACCTCACAACGAACTTCATATCCCCACCGCGGAATGGATTCCTCCCAAGCCGTTCTCACGTGGCGAACATGCTAGTACTTATAGACAGCCCAACACAAACCAAAGATGGACGCCATAGTTTTCGACGTCTCATGTTCTCCACATGTTCTACTGCTCCAAAGACTTAACGCTAATGGGATTCTAGAAGACATTCTAGGCTGGGATAAGGCGTTTATATAAGATAGAGCATTTCGAGTGAAAGTTAGCTCAACCCACTCATCTTCTGTACCAATCTCCATTGGAGTTCCTCAAGGCACCGCTTTAAGGCCACCACTCTTTTTTATCTACGTCAACGACTTTCCAGATGCGTGTTTATGGCCTTTTCAAGGATGACATGAAATAATATAGTTCCAAAGCCAATGCCCATGAATGGATGCCGATGCTTGTCACTAGAGTGCCACTGTCCTCTGAATGACGAGAGATACATCATATATTGTTCAGAGACTAAGCGAAACCCAGTCAGTGCAAGAATCTCAAAGGATCGAATCACGTTTGCTAATTTGCGTCACTTGTGGAGTCAAAAAGGCGTCTCACTAGATCTTAAGGGTAGTGTGTACCAGGCTACAGTAAGGGCTGTGTTGTTGTATGGGTGCGGGACATGGCCTCTGTGGACAGATGATTTGAGGCGTCTTCAGGTTTTCGACCACCGATGTCTCAGAAGCGTGGCTGGTTTCGGATGGCATCAGCGTGTTAGTAATGAGGTGACTAGAAAACGGGTATTTGGTTGTGCTGTTGGCAACTCAAACCGAGAAAACATCCAGAACCATCGACTACGATGACTCGGTCATGTGCTACGCATGCCGAAACACTCTACCGAAACGAGTGTTGTTCTCCGTGCCTCCTTCAGGATGGCGCAAACCGCGAGATGGACAGCGTATGATTTGGCAGAAAGGCGTGAAAGAGATCACGAAGAGTTTGAGTGTTGCTGGTGTTGTACGCCTTCCAAGATGGGACCTACATCAAACCACTACTTGAATACGTCAACTAAGTAGTCTACCCAGGACGCAAAGACGTAACCTCATTGAGCGCGTCCACAGAGCTGCCAAAATTTCTTGCCTCGAATCCGTTAACAGTGGAACAAGCCTCGATGTGCCTGAACTGTTCCTTCATATACTATCGTCCGCCTGCCCGAGGGACCTAAAACTTACGCCTTCGAACAAGTGGTCGACAGGTTTTCCACGTTGACTCCAACAATAAAACGGCGGGGATATGGGAAGCTCAGAGCGCGCAGTTTTATGAGCCTAGATTTTTTCGCTTCGAGTACTTGACGCGTGGATTAATTTTCCTCTGACGGTTTATCACGCAGCATCTAGAAATCAGTTCAAAGCACTATTGATTGCAGTTTATGAATCATAGCGTACTTCCCAGCGCCGGGAACTCAGAGAGCAGTCCTATCTTTTTCGTTTGTGCCTTTTAGGTGAACAGGAGCTGCTGAACGACAAGAACAAAGCTTTGACGAAATCACCGATCCTGTGTATTAATCCGTGAATCTTCCACACGACGGTACATTCAGCATGGAGACGCTGAGTGCCGGTCCACAGTACGCTCCACCGCTCAGCAGTGCGCATCGCTTGAAACATAGCGACTGCAAAATGATATTTCCGTAAGAACTCCAGGCACGACACCCGCCATCCACTAACCCGTGGGGCGCATCAAAAATCTTCACGTGACTGACTGACCGGCACTATTCTGCTCATGTGTCTCTAGCAGCATGACACAAATGTGGGTGTTGAACTTTTCTCCCGAAATCCATAAACTGATCTAGTGATGGCTTTTAACCAAGATAAAATGTGGAGGGCTATTTAGAGTAGGCGCCTCCTGGCACCCGCGCAAACAGTAAAAAATACCACATCCCGGCTGATGCTATTACCACAACCTTGGAAAAAATTTATCGTTAGTTCGTCACATACATATCGTAACTGCACCATAAATACCTCATATTCGACTGTATAGTTATACATAGTCGATGAATGGCGCTCTAGTTATCACTGATTTGTTTCAACAACATTCCCATCACATGCGTGTAGAGACCATCTAAGTCGCCGGGGATCGTACTTAAAAAAGCGTTACACCTTACGCAAAGACAGAGGGCGACTGCAACAAACACTTTAAACGCTGTTTGCAGTGCATATAAACTAAATTAAGGTTCTATTTATCATTAAAATCCTACGGAGCCTTTCATGAACTCCTCATAGGTCACGAAAATGAAGAATCGAAAAGTTGTGGTAATAGTGATGTTGCCACATCCCGGATATAATATTTGAGCACTAACAAACAAACGGCGAACAGATGGGAGGGAAGGTGTTAGACCAATCGAGAAAACGCCAGCATAACCTCGTAACATGCCCCGAAGGTTACACTCTCAATAACCGGGGATGGTAGAATAGAACAAGGAAATATATCAACTCAATGGTGTCAGAAAAACAGTCCAAAGAAGTAACGCACTTTCAAATGCGTCTTGGTCGGAATTGGAGAATGATTGCGATAAACGGCCCCGGGTCAACATCTCGCCCATTGGTCCAGGAGTTTCGCGCGACTACCAAATTCGTCCTTGGAATAGCTGCTTCAAACAACTAAAATTTAGTTCAACAGACGGCGGGACGACGATTCTTAGAAGCACAATACACTTATCAGAAAAACCTTTGCAAGTAGAACGTAACATTTTACGCCAAAATGTTGCATTTTGTTGCATATGTGTTCAAACCAAAAATCACCATGGGAGTTCAGTATTCGCACAAATGAATGGAAATTTCGAAAGTTACGACGTGTCCCGGACGGATTAAAGCAGTCGAAAATTGGGTACAGAGTATCGGTCCAAAGGTAATGGCTCTATTTTTAGGCATCAAGGGTTCTTAGTCGTTCTGCGAAATTATTCCACTAGGCTTTTGCGCCAGATGTATGATTGCTTCGGTGGACGATGATATTTGGTGAGCTGCAAATATGGGAATAGAGATTGGAATGGTTTTGGTTTGAGCACTTACGCAACAAAGTGAACAGTTTGATTCAAAAGGTTTTACTTCCCTCTCAAAGCGCATTGTGCGGCTAATGGACCACTTGATTTTTCGCGAGTTGGTTTTATCAATCTGCCCCTCCTCAATCTTTCCGCGCGTTCGACCTTAAACCTGCTGTGCTAAGACTTCAGAAGAGCATTCATATATGTTTTAGAAATTGGAGACTGTGTACTTTTTATCTTTCACGGAGTTTGAGAAGGCGTTGCATGAATACATGAAGGATAGCTCTGTGTTCTTGTACGTTCATCCAGTAACGCCGATCGCGTTACTATCCGGTGTAAGAAAAATGCGACAGGCGGCTCGCAACACAAAAGGAAAATCGAGGAATCCGAAGTAGCTAGTAGGCATAGCGCGTTTTCCACTTACAATCAGTATGTAAAATGTCGGCTGTCTAATGGGTTTTTGCTTAGGTGAACAAAGGAACCATCTTGCAGTCATCTCTTATTATCTTGAGCACAACTATTGGGTTTCTGATTTTTTGTAGGGTCGGCGTTGGGCGAATTGGCGGCTAACCGAAAAGGAGTTGAGAATCTGCATCGCCCTGCTGAAGTATGGAGTGCCGTCGTGTGATGTGAGACAGTTTGTGGCGATGAATTCGGCAAGGTCCTTACCACTCAGCACATACAACTACCACCGAATATATCGACCACCTCTGTAAGTAAAGCACAGCGGAGTTTCACTATGGCAGATGATATACTTTCATGATATACTGATATATACTGATATACTTCGGGAACCTGCACTTACATTTTGTGGACTAGAGGTCTCTAACTATGCAGCCTCTGTGGGAATAACGAGCTGTTCCGAAACTTGTGGCGATGACTTCCTACGGACCCATTTAGATATGGTAACCACAATGAACTAGTTTGATTAAACAGGAGTTCCGATCTTAAAAGCTTTCTACGTAGGCTTTTAACTCTCAGCAACAATATGCTCAGCACACCAAATACGAATATCGGGTTTTTGCCGTTTACAGAAACTTTGATGTACTCTTTCAGTGGGTCTGACATTTTCCTAAGTTGTGTGAACCATGCACGAACCATGTATTCCGTATGTAACGTGATAATGCTCTCTGGGAAGGCGAAAGCTCACTGATCCCAAGGCTGGATAGTGTGAATTCGAAACTTACCAGGTAAACTTTTGGGCAGCCTGTTCACCATGCAATCTGGGCTTAAGATCAGTACTGATTTCGTTTTCAGGATCTTGCACACCATCGCCAATCATCGGTTCCCACGTGCAGTTTCCTTTTTCGGTGGGTTTTTTTTGAGGGTTTTGTCCACACACAACGGTTGGCCATATTGTACGACACAAAACTGGCCATTTACAAGGTCGGGTTCTCGAGGGCTGTAAGATGGCTTCACGTCACTAACATGTACGCAGTTGTGTGGACTGAGGATGTGTTGAGGATATTTATGCAAACGCAGATCAGGAGGTGTAAGCATAACATCGGCTCGAGCCCCGAGAAAGGCGGTAAATGTGTTGTTTCCGCGTTAATTTTTACACCGGTGACAGGGTTTCATCTTGTTAGAAGGAATTCAGCCAGTTGATGCTTGAATAACATTCCGTAAAGTTAAACTTTAGGAACAAACTACGATTGTCTCTGTCGCGAGTACTCCTGAAGTCACGTGATGGAGTTCAACGTTTTTTGCCTTCCTAACCAGTGTACGACTTAATTTATGAAGCCGGGTGGCTGTTGGTAGGGAAAATCTCCCTTACAGACGCGCTTTTTACCAATGGCTAACCGATTTTACATGGTAGATGAGCAATTTCTTCCCGGTTCATTTTACAAAGTCTTGAAACGCCTCAACCCCTGTTAAAAGGACGGTGATTCGACGTGTCATTCGTTAATTTCGTTGTAAGTTGCCTCCATAGAGGCCATTTTCCAGACCACTGACAGCTTTACGTATTTTAAGGACTCAGTAACTAGCCTCTTATGTGGGTAAGTGAGCAACGCTGCCAAGATTCATAGTTCCCTAGTGCTGCCGCCTGCGCCCGGATTCTTACGTACTATTAGCATGAGAAGTAAAACTATTACATCTGGTCTCGTAACGGATGTGTTGGTTATATTCGTGGCACTGGTTAGCACCAAAACCACGAAAACATCTCAGCTATATAAACAATGATCCTTGTCAAGGTAAGTTATCCGCACAATGGCCTGCGCGCCTCCGCAGACCCATTATGAGTTCCTTAAAACTTTGCTGTGTATTCAGGCAAGGCATAGCGTAATGAATACCAACCCTGAGAATCATGCTTCTGAATTCCAACAACTTTTCGGTGGAAGTGGACAAACCATACGGAAGGGACGTTGCCTGTCCAATCTCAAACCTATTTGATCATAGTACCGGCATGACGGGTGGCTCATGAACAACTTCCATGCGGTTGTTCGGGCTATCAGGCAGGCATTGCGGCTATTGAAGAACCAGCCATTGTCCTAAAACGAACTAAGGTAAAGTGGGCTAGCAATTGTAAGTTTTCCTCTTCAGAACCAAAGGGGTTTTCGAAAGGGGCTTTCGAAAGGCCATCGATTCTTACCTTTCTATCGAGGGAGCTGAGCACCTTTTCGCGCCTCAGCTTACACTAGATACTTTTCTTGAAATAGGCCCTAAGCCTTTCTAATCAGCGCACTCACCTTGACTGTCCTGTTATTAGGTCCTAGAACTTACACTTACCAACCTGGAACCCTTAGCATTAGTCCACAATTGCGACAACTACCCTCCCAAATGTTCTTATCTATAACCCACCACTCCATCTCTCGCCTGTCTCCAGTGACTTGCTCGCATATCCCTCCTCCGGCCTTAAGCTTTTGTACCCAGCCCAGCTGTTCCTAGTTCTTCAAGCCTGGTCCCATCCCTGAGAAACTCTGTCGGCTCTACTTAATGTCTGGTGCTTTGCTTTGGCTGAATTTAAATAACCTTAACCAAACTGAGGCCTCAGTTCCACGCTGTTCCGAACCATTCCGCATCCCCTGAACACGCGCAGCGCACACATATCAAATGGAGGGTTTGAAGATGCGCTATGAGTGGAATACTTGTTTCGCCCCACAGCCCAATCATTCACACATACACATAGCACTGGTGCGCCTCTACTCGACAGAGTGGTTCACACCAATGCTTCGTGTTCGTTTAGTCCTAGTACACAGACCATGAACATCTCCATTCTTCTCTTATTGCCCAAAAGGTAGTTGATGACCAATTTGCTCCCGCGACTTGCCTCTTCCAGTGGCTGTTTTCTGTTCGCTTGTTCGAAATGACTGAACTGGTTTACTGCCCGACTTCCCCCCGACCGTATAAAATATCTGGTAGCTGGAGTTATTTATGGATGCACGAACCGCACTCATGACTGCTTGGATGGTTTTTCACCTAGCAGATCTGGTAGCATGAACGAGGAATGAAAACCTCGTGTGGTGGACGGGTACATCCTGCAGGGAGGGTCGCCCTGCTACGTTGCACCATGGTGCGTTCGTATACTCGCCACTCCTTAAGTAGCACGGATGTATCGCCCATCGCCGGTGGTTCTGAGCTTGGCCTTTAATTCAGGAGAACCAAAAAAGATCAGCTTTGCTGTTCGTCTGTAGCTGGATTGGCCTTGTTCCGGTTGTCACTTGTCCCACAACACCAAGAAATACAAGCGGACGACAGCTGTCCTCCCGTTTATTCTGAGAAAAAACAAAAAATGAATATAGAAACATTCATGCATGGGGCAGCCTGAGAGTACCTGTGAGGCTCACGGCTAACGCCGACGTGCAAGGTGTTGCCACTTTCGTCTTAGTGGGGTCATACCACCCCTAGTCCACTTCATCACTCAAATATAGCGCACATGGTCTTTGGCTTGTTCACTGAGCTGGGCACTTTGGTTGCAAACGTTTCATGACCAATCGAGGTGACATCATCAGTGCGTAGTTGTGCGTAGCGGTGGGGTAGTGGTTGTTCATCTTCCCTCTTGTTATCTAGAGCGATCATATGCACAAAATGCTAATAACTTATGGTTTCCTGATTACAGGCATTCACAGCTAGCACTTAATGGCTGTTTTTTCGCCATGCACAATTCGTTTTCTGGAGTTGACAGCATTGACTTGGCAACTTGTGATCCTTAATCTTACTTTCCTGTTATGCTGATGTAGTAGACATCAGTTAAGCTACGATTCTTACCACGTATCTGGGAAGCTGTTGCTTGCCCGCTTTTTACTTGTCCACTGTCAATGCTGACATTATCCTCTTTCTGCACAACAAGGACTCGATGTCATGACACTTTGGTGAGCAAAAAATACCGTCCGTTTTCAACTAGTCCAACAGCTAGCCCCCTGCTAGCTACATCGACGACAAAATTTTCACATTCCCAAAACTAGGCACCTACTCTGGCCTAACTAGTACTTGGCTTCTAGATCAGCAAACGGATTCACCTTTCTCGGGTCCATTGAGCTTGCTGTCATCCCTTTTTAGATTTTCTTCTATCGACACCGTTGTATCCCATGCCTTCTAACACCTACCACGCGCTACTGCTTTCATTCTATTTCTTTCTCTTC